CGCATGTTAGTTATCAGTGTATCTGGACAAAAAGTTGCTTCAAATGATAACAACCATAATGGCGGTGCATTCTTTTCAAGGGCATGGAAAAGGCCGTTGTCGACCTCAAACAGCCAGGGCGCAAAATACAAAGATGACCCAGACTGACAGAGGTAAAAGGAAAATAAAACAGGGTCTGGGAAACGTTGGCAAGAACTGGGACATTTTGCAAGGATGGATACTACCCGATATTTTGCAAAGATGGGGTCCAACTGATGCCAAGGGCATTTCGTAAAATAGTTTTTGTGCCAGAGGGGTATTATGCTCTACGTATATCTTTTAGGGGCATTTTGACATATATCTCAACTTAGAAGTGTATTTCGCAAGTTATTCCTTCTATTTATTGTCGAGTGTTCTTATTGTTTATAACCTTTGTGCAAGCGGGAGACGTCTACCGACGTCTCGTATCGCACCAAGCAGCAAGTACATGTCGTCGACTGAAAGTCTCGCCCCACCCTTTATGACTTGGAAGCATGTTCCCTCCTCCAAGTTCGAATGATAAACACCTTTGTTGTTGTTTTTCCGGCGCCTTTGTTCGTTTAACTCTTCCCATCTTGTGTGGGAAAAACAATGGGTTCTGGTTGTGTTAAATTAATTGTCCCCAAATGCAAGTGAGTTTGAGATTTATAAAGAATTGTAGTTTTTGTAGTTTTCACTAGGAGCTCATGTTTGCTATCGGCATCGTTAGACACTTCTCGAGGGCTTGAAATCCACAAGGACGCGCTCATAACACCTGTCCTTGGGGACGGAATTGAAAAGAAATGTGAAAACGCCACAAGGAAAATTCCTTGTGGCGTCCTTGTGGCCCCAACCAAAATTTCCTTATCCCAAGAGACCTCGTGAAGTCCCTTGGAGCTCAAGGAACCGTTGACGAGGAGTTTCGGTTCTTGAGTGCTCCAGATGTGGTCCAATGACGTTAGCACGGACATCCCCGCCCTCCAATGTCTGCGTAGATCCCTAACAGCCCCCAACGACTACTGTTGGCGGTGGGCCTTCATGGGGTGACATCGTCGTTTTTGGCCGGCATCGTGCGGTCTCCTACGCTCGAGGAACGTCAGCAACGATCGAAAAAATATTTTTTTCCGGTGCCACCTTCAGCCCGTCCGCGAAAGAGGTTTCTGCACGAGTGTCGTATCCCCACGCGTGTCGTCACGTGCTGCACGTCTGACAAGACTTTTACCTTCTCCGCCGTGCTAGTAGATGTCCGACAACAGGCGTCGCATTGCTGCCCTCTCCACCATGCAGTTCATGGCTCCCTTTGCTGCTCCTCGTCACTGTGCTGCTTCTCATTGAAGTAGTCATCTGTGGCGTCGTTGCATTGTCGAAGGTCTTCCCACGCCCCCCCCATCCTGCGTTTGATCCACCACCTCGTTGTCGCTCGTGGAATGACGCCGCAACCCAACGTGCAGCAACAACTCAATGACAGCCTCCGAAGTTGCCAGGCCGTCATCCGCAG